GAAAATTTGGCTTTTTATTTTAAATCTTTTTTTTTATATAAAAAAATACTTTCTTTTTAAAAAAAATCTCTTGAAAATAGAGAAAACACTTGGAGATAGTCTAAGTAGTGTTTATTAACAATATTAGTCATGCCATAATTTATACTATTATATATAGCAATGTAGTAGATCTCTTTGGACTCTAAACCTCCATCTCTTATTTCTCAAATTTTTTATTTTTTAGATTTTTAAAACTCTTATGTGACACCTTTCTATTGGTGGGTGTGTTATTTAATATTAATAATAATTTCTTAAATTTTCGTTGATTTTAATTATGTAAGCTCTTACTTGATGTATTCCTATTGGTCCATTCTTTAATCCTAATTTATGTATAACTAAGATTACTCCTCAAGTTTAGTAACTCTACTAATCACTGTATTACCTATATCCCCATCTAATTTATTTATATATAAATAGACTAGGATAGTTGGATTAATTTTCAAATTTAGCTAACTACCCTTAATCACGTGCTACCGTCACCATTTCTAAGATATTTTTTTTATTGACTAACAAATTTTTATGATTAAAGTTTGAATTACTATCATGCTGCCATGTAACTAATATACTGAATACGAAAGTTATTCCTCATACACATAATCACCATAACAAATATCTAGAGGCTATTCTTCATACACATAATCATCGTAAATTTTATGTCAATTGCCCATGTATAGCATGAGTTACCGCTAGTGTTTAAAGAAAATCTTGTGGAATCCTCGTGTTGCCCCATTTTATCCTATCAAGAAGATGTTATTTGCTTTAGATAATTTAATGGGGGTACTTTTTCTCATCACTAATATCTTGCAAGGCAAAAGGGAAAGGAATAACTTTGAATGCCTTTTGGGTATGGTTATTTTAGTCAAAAAGAGGCAGACATTTTAATTGATCTAATACATGAATACAAAATAACATGATTAAAAGTGATCATCACTCAGCTTTCACCTTATCTTCTTTATGGAAAAAGTAATCCATTTTTTTTTTTAAATGTATAAAGGAATGGCATTCTGCTGTTACTTGGGCTGTGCAGTAAAAGGAAAAGACCAAAATTCACCCAAAGCATCAAAAAATCAATCCTATTTGACCTTCAACCTACCTCTTCAACTCGAATTCTGTCCAAATTTAAAATTTTAAATTCGAATTATATACCTTGCGTTCGATGGGTTTAATTGAAATTCACCCAAAGATGGGTTTAATTGAAATCGAGTTTGGGTTCATCAAGAATCACTTGTGTTCGATTTATTATATATAAATTTCTTTTATATAGAATACAATATACGTGTTTCATATAGTTGAAGTGAGCTCGATTTATTTAATTTCGATGAGAACTTAGAATTGTATTTGGGCACCTCGATATTCCAACCAAAACGTTGTACGTACTGTAATTAGATATTGGAATTTTCCTCCTAAACCTAATCCATATTAAAAATCTCAGTCAAAGCGTGGGTTGGATTGGAGTTGACGTGGTTGAGCTGTACCCTAGCTGGAGGATCTTAGTTAGAGTATAGTCTTGTGGTCCAATTCTAACTCTCTGGCTATAGCTACATTTGACTAATAGTAGCAAAAAAAAATCAAAGTACCCTCAAATGAACGCAGCTGCAGATGTTAAAACTGTTTTTGTATTATAAGACAAGGACTCATAACTTACCACAAAAAAAAAAAAAAAGAGAGAAATATTCATTCCAAGTGGTACCCTTTGCACAACATTTCTATGCCTATTGTTCAAGAAAAAAAAAATTTCAAACTCAAGACGAATTGTATATATATATACTTATTTGTCTTTGCACAAAGTTCGACAATTCAATAGGTCATCCAAAGTCATCAATCAAGATTCAAAACTAAGTGACCAGGTATTTTTTTATTTTTTGGAACTGGTCTAGGCTATGCTTGGATTCAGTACATGCATGAAGCTCAATCCGGATAGGCTTAAGGTTTACCTTAGCAAGCTCTTGCCCTGTGATCAAGTTGGACCTAAGGATCAGTTTGAACCTCACCCACTCCTCCCCATAAAAACATTGTACAAAAAAAAAAAAAAAGTGATCAAGTTGGTTATCATCATTTCACCATGGTCTTGTTTAAAACTACTTTGCAAGCAAGCATACAATATTAGAAAATAAATAACAGTGCTTGGAAAGGAAGCGTATGAGTGGGATTTAATGTAGTAGAGAGAGTTGGGCTTTTCCACATTCATGGTGGATCAAGTTTCATAATAGTGGAAGCTCAAAGCCTAAATACCAAGAAGAATTTGAATTATATAGGTCAAACCTAAGAAATCTAAATTGACTGTTGTGTCCAAAAAAAAATTTCGGTATCATACCACATATTTTTTTCTTAGTATCTATAATATATTTTGGGTAGCATTTACTAACTTTTAGGGTGCATTCATATTTTTGGGTTCACTTATCATTTTATATATATATATTTACTTTTTGGTATGATTTTGAAAAATTAAATTTTGACACTGTAGTATTTTTCAAACTATATTATATAATATAAAATAATTAATTTATTAAGGAGAGCTTGGGAAGCCTTCCCTCCCACTTTTCTAATTTTTAAAAATTTTGAATTTTGAATTTTCTTATTCTCTAATCATATTATACCAAATATCTGCAATAAATATCCCAAATCAATTACACATAAAAAAAATACACATAAATTTCCTCAAACTTTCGCTTGTTTAATGTTTTTTTAAACATCAAAATTTATAGTTCAATAATTCTTACAATATTTTTGCTAACTACTGGACTTACTCAATTCTCTTTATTTTGAATAATTTGATATGAATTTATGTTAAACTTATTGTATTTAAATGGATCTCCCTAGCACAACAAAAACCAAGGCCATGTTTGGTTATCATATCGGAAACAGTTTTTTGTTCTCAAAATTTCAAAAAATATCCAAAATCTATTTGTTTAGTATTTTTGATCTCTAAATTTTAAGAATAAATGAGATTTGAGTCAAAGAAACAGAAAACAAGTATATATATATATATATATATATATATATATATATATATATATACTAGCGATACCTCGTGACTGAAGTTACTAAATATTAAACTATGACACTATACATGTATTGGAGTGTGTGTGTACAACTGGAGTGTATATATAATGTGTGTGTATGTGTAGTGAGTGTGTACTGAAGTATGTGTGGCTATGTGTTGTGAAATATTTGTGTTGAGTTTGTGAAATTTGGGAGGAAAAGTGTGAGAAATTTGGGGGGAAAAATATATCCCATATAAATTCAAACACCTAGCTATCTTAATATATAGATATTTTAAAGTTTGGTTTATTAATTTTTTTTTTATGAATTTGTCAATCTAAAAATAATTTTTTTATATTTTTTTATTAATGTTTGAATTACTGTTCAAATATATATTTAGGCTGTCCAAACAGGTTTTACTATTTTCTATATTGTAAAATTATTTTTGAAATTATCTAATTAAACAAGTTTTTTATCTCAAAAAATATCAAAATCGCTTTCTTAAAACTCTTATCAATAACTATTTTTGGATACTATTTTTTAAAATACAAACCAACCATGCCCCAAAAGTTCTATGTGCACTTACTAGCCAAGGCTCCACACGGCATATAGAATTTAATTCTCCATCTCTTACCTTGTTTCATATTTTTTTTAATGAATAATTTTATGTATATCAAAATTTATATCAAATTAACTGCAATCGTTAAATTATTGATGAGACTCACTCATCTAACAACTTCAAGGAATTTGGTGTAAGTTTTAGTACACATTATATTGCTCTTTTTTAGTCCTTCTATTGCTAAAAAACTACCCATTAATGAATCAAAATAATATGAAAAAAATTTAGTCACACCTTTTTTTAGTTTATATTTAAACGTCATTGACACCCTTTGCCGTTAAACTACCATATCTAACAATTTTTTTTTAATCTAAAATACCAAAATTGCCCATATATAAATCTCAAATAATCTTTCTACATAAACTTTGATTAAAATTCAAGTCGATTCAAATTTATTTTTTTATATATTAAAATTTGAACGAATTAAAATTTGTTTTTCTAAATATTAAAATTTTAGTCCATTAAAATTCGATTCAAGTAAATTAAAATTTATTTTTTTACGTATTAAAATTCAAGCATATTATTTTTTTATGTGTTAAGATTTGAGTTGAACTTGAGTTGTTAGTGTCAATTAAAATTTAATTCGAGTCGATTAAAATTTATATTTTTGTACTTATTATAATTTGTGTCAACTAAAATTTGATTCAAGTTGATTAAAATTCGTTTTTTACGTATTAAAATTTTGGCCAATTAAAATTCAATACGAGTTGATTAAAATTTAATTCGAGCCGATTAAAAATAATTTTTAATCAGCTCAAATCGAATTTTAATACATAAAAAATTTATAAAACAAAGGAAGCCTAATTGAAGATATGTATATCCAAAAGTAGTGTTGATAAGGTTTTTTGTAAAATATATCATGAGTAATTTAATAAAATTATATTCTAATTAAGATTTTTAATATGATAGTGGGTGTCAGTGAAGATTCAGAAAATAGAGAAAAATGTCTTTGAAGATATGATAAACTAGAAAGGGTGTGAATGAAATTTTTTTCAAATAATATTTATTAAATGTGAAAAGGTGAAGAAAGCCGAGGACAAATTTAAATTTAAAATAGTTTAAAAATTTTGTAAGAGTAATTATAAAAGATGAAAGGAGTAGTTAAATAAATTGAATGGAATAATTTGATTGGAAGGGGTTAATTAAATAATTTAAAAATCTACAAATTAAATAATTTGGGAAGAAAGATATATATAAATTGCATTGATTGTAAGTTTTGATGTTGATAATAACAAAAAATTACCATAAACAATTCCAAATTAGATATAGATAAAGTCAAAACGTCAAGTAGGCGTCTTCCCTCTGAGAAAATGTTCACAACGAGATCTCATTGGAACTTCCCTCATCCATAACCAATGTTTGAGATAAGGTGATAAGCCCACGTGGCAATAACCAAACCCTGCCTCACCTCCATTACTGAAAACACGGTCTCTCTCTCTCTCTCTCTCTCTCTCTCATCCCTTCTCTTCAACCATGGCCTCTCCAACTCTGATCACTCCCACCGCCTCCACACCAAAACCACTCACACCCATCAGATCAAAACTCACCCTAAACGCCACCGCATCCACTCCGAACGTCAGCACCAACACACCACCACTCATACGCCGCGGCTTCCTGTCACTCACTGTCGGCACTGCATTGCTCGTACCAGTCACGTCTGCATGGGCGGCTTTCGATGAGGAGTACGTGAAGGAGACTGAAGAGGTGATCAACAAGGTCAGAGCCACCATAAACATGGAGAAAACTGACCCCAACATAGCAACTGCGGTGGCTGAACTAAGAGACAGTTCAAATTCATGGGTCGCCAAGTACAGAAGAGAGAAGGCTCTGCTCGGCCGGGCATCGTTCCGAGACGTTTATTCGGCTCTTAACGCCGTTTCCGGTCATTATATTAGCTTTGGACCGACGGCACCGATTCCAGCAAAGAGGAGGGCTAGAATCTTGGAAGAAGTGGACACAGCAGAGAAGGCTCTAGCGAGAGGAAGATAAATGGAACCAGTTATTGATGGTAGCAATTTTTTTGTACTATCTTAAGCACTGTTTATTTTGCTGATTTTAGGCATTGTAGAATGAGGTTCACTTTGTGAATTCCGAGGTTAAATATCTATGTATAACATGGGAAATATGTTTAATCTCTTTTGTTCTTTGAATCAAATTTGCATATGCTTCCGGAAAATTCAGACCATGAACTTTTTGCTGAATCCAATTAATATAAACATCGGGCAGAAATGGAAGGAGGAGTGGTTCAAATTTTTAGATTTTCAATGTTCTATACTTACGTAGCTGCCGGGGGAATTCTTGCAACGAGTTAAGATTGTGATCTTCCAGTTGATCTTGAATGGTGAACCTAAATGGAATCAACGAAATTAAGAAAGGGATGGGGCGTGCATCCAACTTATCCTCTCCGAACAAATTAGTCGACGTTCGAATAAGAAGTGATACAATATATTGTGGATCCAAATTGCGTACCTCAATTTAAATTCCAAGGGGTGTATTTATACCTTAATTAGTAATGATGCCTCCTTCAACATGAGTCCCATCCTAGAGTTTAAGAGTCTCGGCTTGCGGTCTAGCATGATGAGTATGATTTTGTCATATCTCATTAATGCTAAATGCTCTGATGTCCAGACCTACTCTTGGGATCATGACGAGCATTTATGACTCACTCCCTGACTATTGAGTGCTTTACTTATGTACCCAAATCCTATAGCCGAGTCTTTGTGAGAAGGCAGTAGATCCCCTTGGGAACCCCTGAGGACTCCCCCTCAGTCTAGCGGCCATTAATGCTTTGTAATGACGACTACTTTTACGTTCTTCAAAGATTAAACAGCCATGAATGACCTGTCACACCAACACAACCCCTATTAATGAGCTATCATTCTCCATTTAATGCCAAGTTTCGGGTATGTTACTTGGCCCTGAGTATCCCGCTTGCTCGGTGCCTTCTGTATGGCAAGTTGCATGCGTTTTGACAGTTGTAGACTGCTACGTGTCAGGTTTTTTTTGCCACTCCGCCTAACGTCTTGTCAACTGTCCTCTAACCTTCGTTTTCCTTGCGCCATGGGACAGGTGACAGACAAAGAATGAAGACTTCCTCCTCACGCTTAGTATTTGGGAGCAATTACTCGCATGTTTGCCACCTATATTTGAATTTCAATTGATGGCCTTGTCTCTTTGATTTCTATTTTTGTTCCTCAAAGTATAAATAGAAGGGCCTTCAGCATTCAAGAGATTCTTCGGACGTTCAAATCTCTTAAGCTCTCTAATGTTCCGAGCAGTCCTTCAATGAAGCCCTTTGACGACACTGATCTGTAAGTTTTTTGTCGTAATTTTCTTTTTCTTTTCATTTTCCTATAGAGCTCCCATGACCATTACACACAGAACCAGGGCCCCTAGGCCTTCTAGTAGGCCTAGGCACACGGGGAAGCTAAGGAAAGTTTAAGTGGACAAGTTCGTTTTAGAAGGCTTTAGGACCACCTATAGGATTCCCAAGGATGTCTTTACCCTTGTCTTCGACCCTAAGTACCATAGGACAAATGTAGGGAGTGTTGATTTCATGCCTTTTCATACCAATGCCATCATGGAGGGAAGAGTCAGGTTCCCTCTTCCCCCTTCTCCTGAGACTTTTGATGCGCTTGAGACTTTTTTCCCTTCAGTGCTACATCAACTTTTTAGAGTAGTCGTGGGTGTGGTCACCCTTAACGCTCAACTGGGAATGAACCTTGGGGTGGACAAGATCTATTTTTGCTATGAATTGAAGATAACCAACAATGACAAATATATCTAAAGTCTTGGGACCTCTCCGTGTAATTGGTGACACACATGTCTAACTCGGACAAAAGATACACCCAGGATTTCATCTTGTGTGGCGGTAGATGGGAGATAGTTTAGGACATTAACATTATCTTGTTCGATTTGTTTCAAGTGGCCTCCCACACCGCTACTCCATCAGCTCTATTATTTCTCACGCCAAGGCCCCTCGTCGTCCCAACCTGTGGTCTATTGGCGGGTGTCTGTTGCGAATTGCGCTAAACTCCATTTGATTGATCTAAGTAGTAGATTCTTTAACTACAAGAAGATTGTCAACTTTCGCGTTTCTCACACGTAGGCTACCCCCTATCTCACTTTAAGATCAAGTGTTCACTATGCTTATGTATCGCTATGGGGAAATCTGATTTGATACTTACCACAACCGGCACTAAATTACACGGGGGAATTCCTGCAATGAGTTGAGACAGTGATTTTCTGGTTGATCTCGAATGGTGGACCTAAAAAGAATCAACGAAATTAGGAAAGGGATTGGGCACGCATCCAGCTTATCCCCTCTGATGATTAAGTCAGTCAGCGTTCGAATAAGAAATGATGAACATTATATTGTGGATTCAGATTGCGTACCTTAATTTAGATTTTAGAGGGGTATTTATACCTTAATTCATAATGATGCCTCCCTCAGCTCAAATCCTATCCTAGAATTTAATAGCCTGTGCTAGCAATCTAGCATAAATGAGTATTTATTTTGGCATATCTCATTAATGCTAAGTGCTTGAATGTCCGGACCTGCTCGGGACTATGTCAAGCATTTATGGCTCACTCTCCGACTATCGAGTACTCTACCTATGTACCTAGAGTCTACATCTGAGTCTTTATTAGAAGACACTAGATCCCTTTGGAAATTCTTGAGGCCTTTTCCTCGGTCTATCCACCATTAATGCCTTATGGTGATGACTGCTTTTACGTTCTTTGAGGATTAGACAGTCATTAATGACCTGTCACACCAACATAACCCCTAGTAATGAGTTGTCACTCTCCGTTTAATGCCAAGTTATGAGTATGTTACTCGGCCCGAGTATCCCACATTCTTGGTGCCTCCTGTTTGGCAAGTTGCATGTGTTTTGACAGCTGTACACCGCCACATGTCAGGTTTTCGTTGGCATGCTGCCTAGCATCTCGTTAATAGCGATCTTGCTGTAACAATGAATGACAATGATCAAAAGATTCAACAAATCTTGTTTCCATGAAGTATCATAACTTGAGAATCAAAAACTTTTTAAGCCATGCTTCATAATTGTTTAACATGATCCATGAGAAATTTGGAGAAGAGTGGGAAAAAAAGAAGGCAAGTAGATCCAATAAATAAATTTCGGAATTGAAAGTGTTGGAGATCGGGTTTGGTTTGGCCCAATCCATGGCACATGACATGGAGTATCCACATGGGCTAAGGAGTTAAATAGGCCATGTGTTGGGCTAGTTAGATGGGGACACTTGGCAAGGTCGATCCCTAAAATTGAATTAGGACAAGCCCAATGCCATTTCATAGGCTAAAAGTCCACTTTATTCCGACACTTTACTTACTTAGTGAAGATAGACAAGCAAAGTCCATATCTACATCTTTATATCCCAATATGCATATTTCTCATTCTAAGGGCTTATAAAATTTTACTCCAACAAATCTTCATAGCATTTAAAATAGCTTTTTGTCACGGTGACACTTTATATTTAGAGTGTCTTCTTAATAACATGTATAAGTTCTTTATAATATTTTGTCTCTTATTTTTTTTTTCTTTCTTCCATTCTCTCTTACTCCCACTCATTACTTCCAAAGAAAAATAATATAAAAAAAATGAGAAATAATATTTAAAAGAAATAGTTTTATATAAAAAAGTTTATTAGAATGTGTATTAAAAAAATGAATAATTAAAATAAAAAACATTTTTTTTGAGTAATTAAACCAACTTTTTTATTGGACAGGCTGTAACAAGAAGTACAAAAAGATTGGACAGCTCTGATAGGAAAAGATTGGACGGCTTTGATAGGAAGATCTAAAGCATATTTAGAGACTAAAAAAGAGGAAAATGGACTGGCCTTTTATGGAACAAGAATGAGATAACGTAGTCCAATTCTCCTTTTATAATTCGACCAACTCCTAAAAGTATCCCAATTGCCCGGGAAAACAGAGATTAAATTCATTGTTGTTTTCGTCAATTATTCTCTTGAACTCAGATCTAATCCCAAAGTTTTGAGCTAGTTTCAACCACTATGCTGAAGCATGACTGAGGATTGACATTAAGAGATATAAAACGTGTTAAACTAATAACCTATTACTTGCAAGAGATCAGACTTGACCACTAAACAATCTCTTCGTTATTTGAGTCGTTAAGAGCTACGTACCTTCACTCATAATCCAAAGTCATTTTACCCAACCAAACTCAAGATTAGACAATCATCAGTTTTTTTTCTTTGGGTTGAAGACAATCATTAATATCTAAGACTCAAAGTTTGTCTTTTTTTTTTGGAAAAAATATGGTTCATATGATTTATGAGTAATTATATATTATTCACTAAATTAGGTCTCAAATTAATTGAACAAGTAGTGTTATTAAATTTTTTTTTTCTGGCATGCTGCTGGCCCTTTGTTTGGGTCACCTCAAAATCTAGCAGCTTCCCAATTTTCCTTAGTTGGAGGTGAGGATGATTTTAATGCAAACTCACCAGAATGGATACTTCCATACTTTTCAATGATTACTTCAACATAAAAGGTTGCATATCAGACTCTAGCCTATTGCAAATCTTAAAAAAATAATATCCAATCAAAATTTATTACCGATTTAAGTTCAATATTGAAATAATTTCTACCTAAATCTCAAACGTAAAAATAGCTAGAAAAAAGTTTACTCTCTCTCTCTCTTAAAAAAAGAATATCAAATGAACATTTATTATTACTTTAAATTNACAAGCATATTTAGAGGACTAAAAAAGAGGAAAATGGACTGGCCTTTTATGGAACAAGAATGATATAACGTAGTCCAATTCTCCTTTTATAATTCGACCAACTCCTAAAAGTATCCCAATTGCCCGAGAAAACAGAGATTAAATTCATTGTTGTTTTCGTCAATTATTCTGTTGAACTCAGATCTAATCCCAAAGTTTTGAGCCAGTTTCAACCACTATGCTGAAGCATGACTGAGGATTGACATTAAGAGATATAAAACGTGTTAAACTAATGACCTATTACTTGCAAGAGATCAGACTTTACCACTAAATAATCTCTTCGTTATTTGAGTCGTTAAGAGCTACGTACTTTCACTCATAATCCAAAGTCATTTTACCCAACCAAACTCAAGATTAGACAATCATCAGTTTTTTTTCTTTGGGTTGAAGACAATCATTAATATCTAAGACTCAAAGTTTGTCTTTTTTTTTTTGGAAAAAAATATGGTTCATATGAT